CAGTGGTCTAGAACATTTTTTCCTTTGTACTGTATAGAATTTTCTATATCAGAAACCATGCCAGCCATTGCAGAAGCATCAACATGTGAGAACAGTTACAAATCAAAGCAGACTCATTTTTTTCTTGCACTCATTCATTAAGCAAATCCTTTCTGCTCTCACTGTCCAATTCTTATGCTTAGCTAAACAGGAACGCAAAGTAAATGAGAATCTTAATATGTCGTAAGTGGACTAATATATCTAGCAAGATTTGAAGGGTACCTTGGTATTAGAATGAACATAACATTGTATAAAAAGAAATCACGTATCCAAAACAGTATTCTGAAAGAATGAATACACTTTGGCAACATTATCTTTGTATAACTTGTATATATATTAAACATGTATGGATTATATGTATATACTATGTAAATATTGTATATGTATTATATAATACCATATTATATTACATTATATCATAGTATCCAAACTTACATAAAGCAGAGCCTAATATGTTAGACAGCCTGTTGTAACCAAATATCCTCAAATGACTCTCGGTAAGGGTCAAACACATTCTTATATTTAATATTTTGGTATAGTATTGTTAGCCTAGATTTATGTAGCTAACTGTGGTTGTATTTTGACTCTACTTTTCAGTTACTTAGAACAGCCTCAGAACTAACTTGTGATTCATAGTTAGGAGCTTCTCAAATTATTTGGCCATTTTTTGCATTTTGCAATTGTTAGAAAAAACTTATACAAAGTATCTAATAACTGTATTTCACCCAAAGCATTCTTTTACAAAAACATATCCTTCAGACAAGTAAAAATACAGCTTTGTTTGAAAACATCAAATGTGACATGTTGTACACAATCCTCTTTTAGGACTTACAGTTTTGTGGAACTTGGCAACATTTACTATTGAAACATAAATTTTGGAGATTAAAAAAATCCCTGCACATTGTATCTTTTATTGTCTTTGAGCTTAAAAAGTGCTCTTTCCATGTGCGGATCAAATGAAAGTGAGCTTGGAGCAATTTCTAGGTGCCATATAACAAATGACTCCATCCTATTAGGGGTGAAGTTGATTTCTTTCTTCTTTGTTGTTGCACCCTTAGCACTGTTCCACATACTTTTCTTGCAGCAGCAACTCCTTACCTCCTTACCTTTGCTGCACCTCAGCAGCAGTATCTAATATGTTGGAGCTAAGAATAACTAGCTCACACAATGATATTAGACATAAAAATACATCCTGAGATGAATATTTTATAGAAGTTGAAAAAGGGCAGGAGTACCAGCCTGAATAAGCTGTCATGCAAAAGAATTTAAAAACAAATTAGACTAGCTCTAGTAATTTACCATCTAGCACATAACAATTTCTATAAAAATACTTGAATAAAAAACTTCAATAGGTGACCATTTGAGAATTTTGGGAATTCTTAAGAACTGTGTGCTAGACTTGTTGCTTCTTTCTAAAGACTGTGGAGCAGAAGCTGCCTATTCAATGTGCTTATGTGGTCCCTTACAGGAAGGGAAAGCACTATCTTCCATACCCCTGCATTCTCCACACGGGTGTATATGGACATCATGAAGAAAAGTTTTCCATGTTTTATAGGGTATGTGCCCTGCCAGCAGCCTGGTGACTGGGGTATACTAGAAAGGAGACCCCAGTGATGTCAAAAGAAGGAACTGGATTTGCCTCTTGAATTTAACATCAAACCTGGTCACCCAGTAGTAATGTTAGAAGATACTTGGATTTTATTTTTGTTCCTGTTAGACCACTCTCCGAAGCATCAACAAAATAACTTCCCTTTAGCTACAAATTAAGATCTTAGCTCTCTAGAGCAGTGGTCTCCAAAGTGGGGTGCGCACACCCCA